AATTGGCTACATTCTTAGGTTATGTCAATCAACTACTCTACAAGAACCGATTTGCCACCCTGGATTCCAGATTCCACTTCCCTTTCAGTTCCACATAATCACACCCTGATGGTCATATTCCATAGATGATTTAGATTGGTTTCTCAGACTCATTATGACTGAACTCACATTCTTTTTTACCCATATCCAGACCAACAACTCTTTTTATCTATGTTTAACACTAAGGATCTCTCTGGGTTTTTGGTTTTGTCCTTCAAAATCCATCCTGTCTAGAATCTTCCAAATCAGGAAAATCACAGACGTAACTCTAGTTTAAGGATTCTAGCAGTTGCCTTTTCCTTGATGTTTTATATGCCGTTTTTTCCCAACTTGAATCTCTCTTACACATTGCTGTTGGTTTGAACTTCAAGAACAGAATATTTATGATAATAGTGCTACTCAAGAGTTCACAGTAGTTCCTATTAGTCTCTCTCATCTAGTAACAATACTTCTACTCTTTTAAGGGTCTCTAAAATCTGGCTCTGTTCTAACCATTTAATATTGTTTTTTTATTTTTTGTTTGTTATTTCCCCCTCATAAAATCCTCTTCTTCAGGCTGCTTGTTTCTTATAGTCTCTCCCAGCTCTCCCCTTAAATCCTCCATGATCATGTCCAAGGATTTTCTCTCTGTTTACCCTATTAAAATGCCCTTTCACCTTCTGTCCATTTATCAACTCCCTTTCAAGCCCAAGAACCAACTTTCAGTTTTCCCTCCTGTCTAATGGAGTATTTAACTCATGGCTCAGCCTGCATCATCTGCTGAGCATTTACCGCAATTTGTATTAAGCATTTACCACAATTTGTCATACAATTAATATCTTTTTATATGTCATTATTATCAAGTGGTCTACATCAGTCATCTTATGTAGAATATATTATTTGTTTCATATGTCCATTTTATCATCAACTAGCTTCTAAGCATCTTATGAATAACCAATATTTCTCACCTTTCTCTTATGCTAAGAAGTACTGAGTACAGATATAACATTATCATTAGCATTGAATACACAGCAGGCACTTAAATACTTGAACCTTAGTCTGCGGGGTTTTAGTACATCCTAAGGTATTCATGAGCATTTTCTGTACAATCAGTTACATGATACCACTTACACTAGGCCTCTAATCATGATATGAGGAGACACACTTTATTTTATAAATTCTCTGACAATAAATGTATATGAATGAGCATCATCTAAACAGTTTGTGCTGTTGAGAATTAGTGTAAAATTTCCTGTTTGATAGGATCCTTGTATTCTTGCCTTAGCTGTTTATATGAGACAGTGGTTCTCAAACATTAGCATGTATTTAGAATCACTTGAAAGGCTTGATAAAACACAGAATGCTGGGCCCACCTGAGAGTTTCTGATTCAGCAAGTCTGGGATGGGGCTTGAGAATTCACAAGTCTGACAGGTTCACAAATGACGCTGCAGCTGCTACTGCTAGGACCACACTTTAAGAACCAGTGATCTAAGAAATGAGAAATCCAGATAGAGGACCAATTTTTTTTATCACTGAAGGGTGTCAAAAAGGAATTTTGGAAAAATGCCAACACAAAATGCCACAAGCAGAATATATTTTCAAAAAAGAACATTGCTTTCCTGTATTGAAAGTCTACAACTATGAATTTTAGGACCTTTTCACAGCCTATCCACCTAAAACCAGTTAAAAGTTTGCTGTTCTCCTTGCATATTGTGCTCTGTGAAGGAAGGCACTAAGTGTATACATTTTTATAGACCACATTCTAAAATAAATGAATGAATGACTTTTTATTATAATATTTTCAAATAATTATGCTTTGGGTTAAATATTTTTTCAACTTTACACATTTGATATATAGAATGCTAAAAGAAAACAAGTATTATTTACTAGGCCTCTGTTCATATTTTAAAATAGCAATATTTTACTTTTGGGGTATGTGTTCTACATGCATTTAACTTATTTCAGCCCCTCCCCGCCTGAGTGGATGAATTTTGTGCACCGGGCCTCTAGTTACTAATAAGTAATTTCAGTTTCTGGCTTTCACATGTTTGATTTCATTCTCCAACAAAATAAAAGAGAAGAACATTTGGAGCAGCAAAAATAAAATTTAATTTTTTCCTTTCATGTGTAAGGTCAGAGGGATGGTGCTGCTAGGCACTGTAACTCTTTAGTTCTACTGTAAGCATAAAGCCCAGTCTAAACTATGACTGTAAGTTACTGGGATTTCATTTGAATGGCACTGAATTACATGCCGAGTGTCACAATAGGCAACTATGCTGTGAGGGCTTTTAGTTATTGGGAAAGCTGGAAATTGCAAGTGCGGGAATAAGTATGTTATGTTACAGGCACTAGAGATTAAATGTGGATAAAAGCCTTGATCTAAAGTGATGTCCTGAATGAACTGGGGGAAATCACCATAAGAATTAAGTCTCTAAATAGGTAGCACCAGCAAACTCCACAAACACTTGGGATGTAGGAAATCAACCCTAGGGATACAAGGGTCAGTCCTTGGGGTACTCACTGCTGGTAGCTACAATGCCAGGGTGCTTTGGGATCTATCTTGCCCTAAAATATCTCCTTTCTTCATTTGTTACCTGAATTTTCACTGGGATGATTATTAATGTATTAGAGATATCAATTGGACATTTATTCTCAGGAGAACAGCTAGAACACATGCACTGCTGTCTGTTCCATTCCATCCTCATTTTTCAAGTATTCCCAGCCTGCACTTGTGTCATGGGCAGCCTAAATCAGAGCATGAGACTTTCCTTTGTGCCTCTTTAAATGCATCTTCAGTTCTCTTCACTATCTAAATCTATTGAGGTAATTCAGAAATCTGACTCCTGCTCTAGGGCACAGACAAAGGTTGGGTCTTTTAGAAGCTTCTGGAGACCTCCCTCTGGGATATATTTGTCCAAGACACTTCTAATGGGAAATGCAGTCACTCATCCCAACTGCCCTGCATGTTGAAACCTCCCCGGGGTAAACCTTCACTCAAATGTGGAATCAGTGTATCTAATACCTCTTCCTCCTCCTTCTGACAACTTTGCAGAAGATAAAACAAGGTTTGTCCCATGATTTGCTATTTATGGGTCCATGTTGGTACCCAAAGATCACTTTTTCCTTATTAGGTGTTACATAAGACAATTTATTCTGGAATGTTCCCTGGAAACAATGCCAAGTTTGATTTTTCTACTGTTGGGAGTGATTTGAACACCCACTGTTTTTCTGTGCCCAATAAACTGCCCTTCTTGGTTTCAATGGCTGCTGTTGATGTGCAGATGAGCAATAATACATGTATTTTCTCAATAAGAAGATTGAGGCCGATGAAGCCTATGACCCAACTGGTTGCAACCATGTGCCCCGGTAGTCATATTTTTATAGCAGTCACAGATCCACCTGTTGTTATCTCTGAGACTGTGTCTTTAACAAGAAAGTTAATATATTAGAATAAAAACAAATTTTCAAAATTGTTCCACTAGTAGTGATATCAATGTGTAGACTACCATTTCCTTCAGATTTTGATTATCATAGAGATAGTTAAAACATACAAAATAGTCTCCTAAATATTGCTACTTCCCACAACACTCTCTAAATGTTTGCTGTTTGTGATTCTTTTGAAACTTTTAGTCCACAGTCCTCTAGCTGAGAAACTAAGATGATTTCACATCGAGTACTTATTTGTTTATAAGCTTTACATTCATGGCAGCAAGTACATTTCAACTTACAATGCACTTTAGTGCCTGCTGACAATACAGTTAAAACTTCTCATCTAGGTTGGATGTCCCCAAAACCTTGACAACAAAATCAATAAAAGTAGCCTTGCATCCTGTGTACTATTTCTTTGGAGAATAAAAGAAATGCAAAATAAGTCAATGAGAAACCATGGGCAAAATATTTTAATGTGTCATCATCAAAGATAATATAAAATCCTCTGTTCTTCAAGTACCTATTACTGTTTTTTCCCCCTCTCATTTCTTTATATTTGTAGTCTTGCTGAAATCAGTAACGGGAGAACTGGTATGGCCATCTTTTGCAGGCTTTTGCTATTCAGACAAATGTGACAGTCCTCAAAGAAATTTGAGAACAGAATACCCCAGATAGTCTTTTTAACCTTCAATACATCATCAAAGAGCTACATGTTTAAAAAAAATTCCATTGACCATCCACTTGTTCATTTCCTCCACTCCTCCTCCTCCCCACTTGCCTTCTTTTCAAACTTGAAAGGGTACAGACTCTAGGAGGGTGAGGGCATGTGCTGGGGTGTGGGGTGGTGGTGGTGGTTGGCCTGGGGAGGAGGTCCATGGGGGAAAAGGAGACATATGTAATACTATATGTAACATTTTAAACAATAAAATGAAACTTTAAAAAAAAAGAAAAGCCAGTTATCTATGTTAACCCAAATTTTAAAAAGCTGAAATGAGAGGCAACAGTATTTATTTGGGATCAAAAATTGTAATTTGGGGAGAACAAATTCAAGCAGAAGCCCAAATAGTGTTTCTCCCCCTTTCTACACAATAGGGGATAAGAGTTTTTATGGGGAAAAGGGAGGAAGATGATTCGTATTAAAGAAAATCTCATTGGTGCTGGATGAAGCAAGGTTAAATTGTTCTTCAGGGATTCACTTGAGATTTGGTCATCAGGCAAAAGGCTAGATTTGCACTTCATTGACTGGTTAGCAACGTGGTCACTGGCAAAGTTCAACATTTTTACACACAGAATATTCTTGTTCCTACTACGGTTTTGAAACATTGTCCATCTGGTCCAGTCAGAAGACAAAAATAAAACAAGGTGTTCAGGGCAGCTTCTCTGAAGTGGCCACCCCACCTCTGTTATCACCTGGCTTCACACATGTCATCTCTCACACTTTACATCTGAATCACCCGGAGGACCTATTAAAACACAGGTTCCTGGCCCTAACCGGTTTGGCTCAGTGGATAGAGCATTGGCCTGTGGACTGAAGGGTCCAGGTTCAATTCTGGTCAAGGGCATCTACCTTGGTTGTGGGCACATCCCCAGTAGGAGGTGTGCAGGAGGCAGCTGATCAATGTTTCTAATTCTCTATCCCTCTCCCTTCCCCTCTGTAAAAAGTCATAATCTCCCCACAGGTTCCTGGGTCTGACCCAGTGGGTCTGGGACGAGAGCTGATAATTTACATTGCTAACAAGTTCTCAGGTGATGCTGCTCCTGGTCCAAGGACCATACCTTGAGAACAGTGTTCTACTCCTGGACCCATGGACCAGAAGCATAGGTGTTCCCTGGGGCATGTTAGAAATTCAGAATCTCAGCAGCCTTCCTCCCAGTGCTATTTCATTAGAATGTGCATTTTAACTAGATGATTTAACAGGTGCATTCTCCCAGTGATTCATATGCTTATTGGAGTTTTCAAAAATCAAGGTTCTAAAAAGTAGGATGGAGCAGGGTTGAATGATTTCCCTACGGCTGGATAAAGTACCACATTGCCAGGTGTAGAGAAATCCAAATGGCAAGAAGCCTTACATTATGTATAAATATATATGTTTGTGGTCTATGAAAATATCCTTTAAAAAAGATCGTTGGTTGCAGGTTGAGGAGCTTCAGATTCAGTGACTACGCACCTAGCAACCCAGGTGACAAGCAACACAGAAACAAGGCAGCGTTTGCAGGGCAGTAGCGGGCCAAAGCAACACCCACATACTGGAGCCCAGAAATTGTTAAAAAGAAGAAGCCTTCAGGCAAGTGTCCACCTACCATCTCAGGCACTTTTGCCCTTGGGGGATAGAATGACTTTTGCATGGACTGTGTCCATGTTCCATGTTCTTAACTTAAAGAATAATGGCAGGCCTGACTGTGATAAGTTAATAAGTAATTCTGAAAAATCGGAACTCAAGCTAGGGTGCAGAAATGGCCCATAAAATGTAAATATAGGCTGAAAATTTTTATCTCCTTAATTTTTCTTTGTCCACTATCAAAAACCTCATTTATAGAAGGAATATCAAGAAAGGCTTAATTATCTATAAAGTAAATATATCTATTTTATCCCCTACTGATCATGATACTATGTGTTTTCAAAATTATGTTGTTTCATGTTTAATACTTAAAAATAAAATTCAGTATTAAAATGATAATGGAATGCAATCTGTGACAAGTCTTTGCAATGTTCCTTAGGGAATATGTTTTACCAGAACAAAGAAGTATGTACCAAAGATGGTGGGTAATTACTGGGCAGTCAAATCTTTTCTAACACTGGTCAGAAAATAGAGCACCCATAAAATGATATGGGCTAGTACTTTAACAATATATTGATAATCTAGTTTATGTAGGAGGCTTTAAAAGGATAGTAGTATAAACATTTCTTAAACATATCTATTTAACCTTTTATGCTACTGAAATTTCCTGTCCATTTTTATATCAGTCTTGCATAAGAAAATATATTTTGTTGTCATATTCAATTCTCCAGTTCACATTGCTAAATGTGACCTTTCTTATCTTTAATTAGACATGTCATATTTGATTTTAGAAATTGTACTGCAGATTGAAAGAAGTTACAGATTTTTATAGTTCTATAGAGACATCTAAAGTTATTTTATAACCTAATAACTGTAACAGATTTTATAGTGATTTAAACTGCCTTTTATGGGTCTAATTCAGATAATAATTTACTAAATTTACTAATCATGTAAGAATCTCAATGCAGTATTTCTTATTAGACTTTACTTCTTTTTCCTGGAAAAGAATAAAAAGTAGCACAAAAATGCATTGCCTAAAAGAGAAATCCAATTTTCAGAAATGAAGCACATTTTGAACAATTTGAAAATGACTCACCCCTCATTGTTCACTTGCTGCCATGATTATGATGACCTAAGGAGGGCACACTTACAGAAAAACGAAGTGAACATCAACATTGACCTGGTTCTTTTATTTAATTTTTTTTCTGTCCTCTCCCAGCCAATATTTCTATGATTTCTTCAAAAGGATCACACATTTGCCTAAGATAAAATGAATACTGTTTTTATCCAGCAATCATTGGCAGGTAACATAATACACATAAAATAATTGCATATGATTATTCTTTTTTTTTAAGTTAATGCTGGAATGACCACTGAGCCTGACTACAATTAGCAATTTTCTGCTACATTTAGCCAAAGCCTGGGTATATGGTTACACAAATAACTTTTCTTCTGAGAAGCTATGCTTCATTTGAACTACCTAAGAGTTCTGTCTGCTGATTAATGTTTCTCAGGCAGACCCCAGTGTGGATTCTATGACTAGTAGGGATATATTTCTGGTTTCTAATAAAGTGATTAACCTCTGTCTATTCAATAGATACAATTATAGCCATACTTCATGTGTGGGAAAATTGGATTTTCCATGTAGATCTACAAATAAAGAAAACACCATTTCCAAGAATGTCCTAACATTCTTCTCCCCAGGAAATCACACAGATATCAGTCTACACAGCTGCATAGAAACCAACATTTTTCCTGCCCCAGCCTCATGGTCTTCCTTTCTCCTCCTCATCCTCTCTGGATGGCCCACTCTTAGTCTTTCGTCTTCTGCTCTGTCAAACTTCACTGTTCCTTTGAACAGTCCAAGCACCCACCAAGGAAAGGGCATGTGAGGACATAGCAAGAGGGAAGCCACCTACAAGTGAGAACGTGAGCTCTCACAGAACCCAGCCAGCCGGGCACCTGGTCTCTGACTTCAGCCTTCAGAACTGAAGGAAAAGAACCCCTGTTTATACCTCTCAGTTTGTTGTATTTTGTTATGGCAGCCTGAGTTGACTAAGACACTGTCTAGTCCAGGGGTGGGCAAACTTTTTGACTCGAGGGCCGCAATGGGTTCTTAAACTGGACCGGAGGGCCGGAACAAAAGCATGGATGGAGTGTTTGTGTCAACTAATATAAATTCAAATTAAACATCATTACATAAAAGGGTACGGTCTTTTTTTTTTTAGCTTTATTCATTTCAAACGGGCCAGATCCGGCCCGCGGGCTGTAGTTTGCCCACGGCTGGTCTAGTCTAAACTCTCTTAACAAATTTGAAGTTCATTGAAGATGTCCAAACCCAAACATTTTCTTTTGAAGTTCAGTGAAGATGTCCAATTCCAAACAAATTTTTTAATTTCATCTGAAGCGTGAAGGATCAGTTCCTCTCTATAACCTAACAGAGATATTAAATGTCAAATAAACAATCCATTTCTAGCCAAAGAAAAATCTTTTATAGGAATTTTGCAATTTATATTTCTTTCCATATTAAAATATATCTTAAAATATTTGAAAGGAGGCACCTGGATTTTAATGAAATTTATTTGAGGACCACAGACAACCAGCACAATTTATTAATCCCATGTGTTTTGACAAGAAAGAAGGAACATGTTAAATACCTGGCGATTTCTGTGGCTTTTCATGACTGCAATGTGGGATTTCAGATAGTGTCTCCCATAACAGCCTGCTTCTCTCTATTGTGCGTTAAAATATGCTTAATGGATGTTGTGCTTTAACTGAGGTCTCAGGCATTCTTTGTTCTATTCCTGGGTGATGAATCTTCAAAAAACAGGATGGCCCAGCTGACCTGGCTCAGTGGTTGACCATCAACCCAGGAACCAAGAGGGCACCTGTTCAATTCCAGGTCATGGCACATACCCAGGTTTCAGGCTCAATCCCCAGTAGGGGCCATGCAGGAGGCAGCCAATCGATGATGTTCCTCTCTCATCAATGTTGCTATCTCTCTATCCCTGTCTCTCTAAAAATCAAGTAAAACATATTTTTTAAATGGTATGGACAGGCAAGTGTCTGTGTTTAACAGCACTGCTGCTTTGAGGCTCTACTACCATGGCATTTATTCAAGATTCTTCTCTAAGGAGAATAGCTAATCTGAGCTGAATGCTTAGGGGACAGAAGAGAATTGCTAAGAGACTAAAAGCAAATCTAATTTCAGTTGGCAATGTCTTTTCCCACGTCCCCTGCGTCCTCTCTCCCATCTCACCCCAGCCATCACCTTCCTCAGAGGCGTTGTTTATTCAGTTCCTGGACAGAGCAGCATTATCTATCAGAGGCTTGCTACAGGGGCCTCCCACAGAGAGGAAACTGTTCCCCCAGTGTCTGGAGGTTCCTTGTGGCGAATATTATCCCCCTTTTTATCAGGGGCTTCTCTTGTCGCTCTCAAACTGTCTCAGTCACAGAGAGGGTTCCCCCTTCACGGACCAGCCACCCCGCCTTCCATAACTCTTATAACCTCATTGTCATTTTAATTCCTGTTGCTCTCTTGGTTTGTATCAAGTTCCCTGCCGCCAATTTGCCAATTTATCCTGCCATTTGCAGACCCTGAGCCATCACATTTACTAAAAACTACAAGGCGACAAAATGGATAGGTCATTTTGTTTGATCGCCTCATGAATTCTAGGTTTAATAAGGAATAATAGCCGAGTTTGCTTATTCCTACAATAAAATCTGTGATGCTCCTTTAACACACAAGTATGATTTCTTCAGTAAACATGCTATGGACAAGCATATGCATGATTGAACTCTTTTTTAAACTGTCCCTCTCACTCCCCACAACTCTGTACTGCCCGGCTTTAGAGCACTAAACAGCATAAAAACTTTATCCCTGAGAAGTTTAGAAACACAACAAGCATCAGTCTCATTGCAGGGTTTAATGGACAGAGAGATTGATTTGCTATCCTCACTAAATGCCTCTCTTTGCAGCAATCTGGGAGTCTATGACTGTTTTGTGGCCCATCAGGAATAATTGTAGTTATAATTTTATTAGTAGCTGGGGGATATAGTTATATTTCCTCCCATTTTCATTTTCAGGCAACTTTGCTGTGGACTTGTCTGCATCTGAATTAGGACATGAATTCAGAGCGCACCCTTGCCATTTTGCACCTAGGAGGGCATACCTATCTGCTAGGCGTTATCTACAAAGCACCCTTCATATTCCCTCCATGCTTCTAGTCAAAGACCTAACAGGCCTTTGTGTGCCATACCCTTCAATGCAAATTTTACATTTCT